TGTGAGACCAGCCCCTTGGCCTGTTCTCACAGGCCTGTGTTATATTTGGGGTAGGCCAGTCCAGGTCGGTACCTCTGTCGGTACCAGCCAGTCCAATCCAGTCCCTTCAGTCCGCTGGGGTATACCCCAGCCATTGTCTGTTTTCAGGATCATTCCTTACTTGCACATTTTGGAGTACGTGCGTTGGAGTCTTGCGTGGGGAGCTGCGTTGTGCCATCTTGCTCCCCCCTTCTTCCTCCATCTCCATCTCTGTCACTAGCGGAGCACCACACCTGGTGGGTCCGCTACACCACAAGGTCGTGGGAGATCTGCGCAACGGCTGACGGTCCTTTGTCAGTCTCCGGGGCCTCGTCTGCAGATGCCATCGCCACCCAATGTGCGGTCTCATCGCCGATCACGGTCTCCAGCGTGAACAGTCGTTCCCGCTGGTGTGACCGGTGTTCGGCTGCCGCCTGCAGGTCTGCCTCCTCTTGACGAAGTCGGTCCTGTTCCTCCTTCCGTCGCTTGGCCTCCTCTTCTTGCTCAATCTGACTGCGTTCCTTGGCCGCGGCGGCGGCCCTATCATTGGCCTCCTGGATGAAAGCAGCCAGGCGTTCCTCATACGCCAGGAGGGATTCTCCCGCCTTCCGGTCCATGGCCTTGGTCTGTGATCGTGTGAGTGGTGGCATGCACTGCTCTGAAGAGTCACCTATGGGCCAATCAGCTAGACTGGCCCAGTATTCGGGCTGGAGGGGAAAGAACAGGTAGGCAGCAGACAGGTGGGAAGGATCGGACAGATCCCAAATTGAACAGTTTCCTCATCAAAAAAAGAAAAAGAATAATTTTTGATTAAGAAGAAATAAATCAAAAAAAAAAAAAAAGACTGTCCAATCCCACTGAGTACCGAAGGTGATGCAGAAAGCAAATGTGAACCCTCGGTGCTCAACTGCAGAGAATCAGAAAAGAAGTATCTTTACAACTCAGAGTAGGAGTAGGTTGCAGAAAGGAAAAAATGCCATTTTTTTTAATTTTTTTTTTGAAAAAAAAAGAACGGAATTTGCAGACCTACGCAGTGAAAGTGTAGAGGGACATTTTCGGAAAAAGAATCGCGAAATTATCAAAATGCAGACATTTAACAATTAAACAAGGTAAAACAAAAATTCGGAAAAAGAATTCTCAGAACGAAAAAAAAATTCTCGGAAACCAAATTTCTCGGAAAAATACTTTTTTCGGAAAATAATAATAATTTCTCGAAAAAAAAATTCTCGAAAAAAGAAATAATTCCTCGGAAAAAATTTTCTCGGAAAAAGAAATAAGTTTTGGGAAAAAAATAAATAAATAAAGAATTAATTCCGGAAAATTTCCAAGATTAAACAATTGCCAAATAATCAATCAACTTAATTAATTAATCAATCAATCAATCAATCAATCAATCAATCTCAGATGATTGCTGGTTGACTGATCGATTGTTCGATCAATCTCCTGATTGACTGATCAATCAATCGAAGATTGATTGGTGGCAAACCGCCAATCCAATCAATCAATCGATTGATTGGTTGTTGCCAAGATTCATCGCACTAGCTCCGATACCACTTGTAGCATATCAGAAAGTGAAATGCACTGAAAGCCTAGGATCTA